GGCAATGGTCCACTCTCTATGCAGTGTAGTAAAGATGAGTATTAGATGTCACATGTATGCGCTTCACAAGTCGTCTGATCATCCATCCATAAAGCATGTCACTCACCTAACGCAGCAGTAATGTAAGGTACACGCAGTATAGGAGACGGGATACCAAAAACAGACAGTGAATTTTTTTTCATAATGTGTCTTTCACTTTGAGTGTATGACACCATATAAATTTGTCTATTAAATAGAGTATGTACAGACGACACAATTAGAGAATCGATGAATTCTGGGTCGATCTTTTTGACTGTACGACGGAGTTCATCATATGAATCATCCGAATAATCTAGTAGGAAAAAAAATAGCAACGGATTTTTAGTCACTCGGTATGCACAATTACACAACATTAATCGTGATGGGGCTAATAAATGAGGCCTTGTTACTCATATCTTTTTCAATAATACCTATTACTGCTTCAATCACACTCATGTTGGCGCTGCTGCTGTCGTATCTTCTATCAAGTACGAGAAACATTAGCCCAATTGAAAGTAACCCAGTTGAATGGAGTGGACCTTCTGCTTTTAAATCGAGTGAAGGAACGAACTTTCCCCTGTATTTGTTAGAACTTGAGTCAAAGGTAGGCTGTGAGACATAATTTAAGCAATCGGGTGTGACTGTTGAATCTGATGATTGATAAAATTAGTCAGTCATTCAGGCATCTAAAGACAAAACGAAGACTGAGTATGCTAAGTCAACTTACTATTGTAGGCGAGTGCACAGAAAATCGTAAAGTTATAGTCAAACTCTAATGTTACCGTTGGAAATCTAAGACTGTCGTCCGTTCTCGACTCTGTTTTCAGTATCGGAACGTCATCGCGTATATCAATTATAAGGTGAATCGTATATCCGATCAATAGAAAAATAATTGTCAACATAGTAATATTACGACACACAACAATTGATTTTGGTTCAGTCTTTCGACTTTTGCGGAATATTTTCTCCAACTGCATATTTACTATTTAACACTATCTGATCGAGCAATATCAACAGAATAAGGGGATTAACCATATATTGTTAAGTCTGCGCACGGAAGTCAGATATCCGCTTTATATACTATTGTACAAGGATCGCGTAATTTAATGTAAAACACTGTTCACACCTCCAGATCTTAGATAGCTATGAATTTGTAATATTCGTGTCCTATGCGTTCGAATCTATTTTGGCGGAAACGTAAACATACCATATTAGTAAGTAAATGGGAGTTTAATTCGCCAACAGTCGTCCAATATTGGTTACACTATTAAAAAAGATTGGCACAAATACCTTTTTCAAACAATCTGTATTTTTGTGGAATGTGATGCAGCGGCGCGCAAAGTGTTCTAAATTTATTGATCATAGTACAAGTACCATTGCACTAGATTAGCTATACGTGTGTTTCGTTGTACCGCAATATCAAACCAGTTTTCATTCTACGCCCAACCTGCTTCATAAAGACGGGGGTAATTTGGCAAATTACAAAATAATATAAATTTTCGATAAGCGAGTCGATAAGAATCAAAAACAAAAAAATTATAGTCATTACTATCATACTTTATTAGGGTAACATGCAGCATTGTATGCACGTTATATATGATGCGTGTCCATTACGTGTTTTTATTCTTTAAATCTGCGTTGTTTTTACTATAAGTAAATACATGGTACAAATTCCAGATGAGCAGAGCAGGAAAACAACATTTTTGGTAACCAGATGACTTGTATGGAAAACGGTATAAGGTTGTGTCATGTATGCAAAACTATGTAACTATAAATAAACTAGTACATGTTGGAATAATTCATTACTATACATGCTCTATTGGCCTAAAAGTTTATTCTGTTTAACAAACGGGAGCTTGATAGAATTTCTGTAAGTTTGTCATTCAATTCGACCTTATCTAGAACTACAATGAGTATCGGAAGCCTCTCATCAGTGTTAAGTTTGACAAACAACGGATTTTTTTTAGAAAAACATTGTTTGCGAGAGGAGGCGTCACTTTATCGATAGCCGGCTATTTTTTTTTACCGACCGACAATACAAAACAGTTTAAGTTAGCTATCATGATGGGTTTAATGAAGCGTCCTAAATATCGTTATTGTTTGTATTACAAAAAGTAGACTTGGGTTACAAAGTTATGCTTATCGGCAAGCCAATATAATTGAAGTAAATTGCTATCACGGTTTTACACTTAACTCAATATGTTAAAAGCGTTGAAAGTAAGCATCTGCCTATTATGTATAAGTGGATATTAATTTGATCAACTAATTACTGGTTTACGTCTCAAAAACAGTTAAATTTTTTGGTAGCAATTACATAATAATAAAAGTAAGAGGGGCGAAGCCCGGTTGAATACATCAATATCACCATTATCGAGAAACGGCACATTTTTATCTAACTCCAAAAAAGCGATTAAGAAAATATTTGACATTTTAATTTGGACAAGAAAAAATTTTATTACTTTACCGTATAGTAAATTTTCACCTTCATCACTTGACGCACGATCTTAACCTGATACGTCGATACACCATTTCATTCGCCGTTTACGAATATCTTTCCCAGATTAATATTTCGCACTAACCTTTTCTGGTAATATTTTTGGAAATTTTATACGGCCAATTATATATATTTTTATCGTACCTTCGCCCACCCTCCACCCTCGGAACCATGCATCTATTTATAAGAGATGAAACAAATGTGCCGCAGTATTTTATTTTTATCGACAAGCTCCAAAGTAATCATAAGTATAGTCCAAAGGATAAAATAACAGCATAATGTAATGAATAATGATCGAAAACATTGACTGTAATCGTTATCTCGCTTTTCGTTTGCTTTACTCTCGAAAATAGTAAAATAATGAAAAATCAGGTATAGCCCAATAGTTTCGTGTCCTTTATTAGGCGCAACTAAGATGGACCTCTAAAGCTGCTGGTATAGCCCGATAGTAAAGCCCAATAATAAAATCAAGTTAGTCTCAATCTGGTAATTGCTTCGCCGATATCGATATATTATCACTTAAATCCATCATTAATTTCCCATATTAATATGATTGTGGCATACATCATCATCATATTAGTGTCAGTTTGCCATACTACAGATCTTCCCTTTTTCTAAAATAAACGTCAAAATTACGTTAATTTACCGATAACGGCTACACGTACTTACTTTTCAAATAAGTTATGTCATAATTATATCTCATAAATTACATAAATCTGTTTATTATACATTTTCTATTACCGATAAATTAGGATTAGTCTTCTTAAAAGTATGCGTTATGAGGGCTTTCACTGATTTCCAGCTTTTCTTGGCTATGAACTTCTACCAGCTATGCTAATCTTGAGATTTTTTTATGATGTGTATTCACAGTAAATTAGCGAATGGAAATTTATCCTAATAACATGTAAAATTTTTATTTGTTTCGCACATAGCATTTCGCCTTATTCGGGTGTCGGTATGGTGTTATTGATAATTAGTGGTAATGTGTGGTTTTTTGTCGTGGGAAGCTTTGATATTGACATTCCAGGTTGTCGTTATGAAATGAAAGAATGGGCGGTTT